AACAAAGGATTCTAGAAAGGTTCTGCGTTAAGGGTTACTATAAGGGTGCTGCTTAGAATAGGGTCCCTCTAGTGGGTTCCTTCTATGAGGGTAATTACAGTATGTTACTTTCAGGTTTTTCCTGTGGGGGCCTGGAGTTAGAATAGGTTCAGGTGGACTGCCTTGTGGGTCTTTTCAACTTCAAACGCGCAGAGATTCCTAATCTCCGTAACTAAGGAATACAGAATATACCATAATTCAGAAAGAAGGATTCTCACTCAGAGTTAAGGTCCATCCCTTCAGCAGAAGGTTTCGGAGCCTCTGGGTCATGGGATGCTGTTCAAGCGTTGTTGCTTTCGACATTGTTATGTTTGGGCTTAGGGCTATTTGCCCGGTATGGATTTAGTGGTACCAATAAAAGTTCTTAATGGGCACTACACCGGGATTTGGATTTAGGGGTTCAGGGTTTCGGGGTTTAGAGTTCAGGGACGGATTTGATTTGCAAGAGTTCAGGGACGGATTTGATTTGCATTGCATACGTCGGGCAAGCAAGGTGCACAGCAATCAAAAAGACAACAAAACCTGGCGAGTAAACCTGTCCTGTTTGGAGGGTACACCAGGTCACCATATGGAAGTTTCCGAAAACAGGGGACGCTGAGATGGTACCCTAAGTAGTAGGATCCTTATTATAAGGACCCCAAAAGAAGGTCCCCCTAATACTCGGAAACTCCCATATGGGTTTCTTATGGGTTTATGGGCTTGGCGGTGAAGGCTTTTGACGCTACCTTGCGGTTTGGGGTTGCAGGTTTGACCTGCCCAGGGATTTTGAAGTCCAGGGATCGCCGAATCGCTTCATCCGCAGCAAAGTGTTCAACCAGTCAGTCGCAAACATCAAACACCCCGAAGGCGCAACGGTTTGGGGCTCAGGCTGACGGGTACCAAAAACCTGAAACCCTAAACTCTAAACCATGCAGAACCTAGGACCTAAGGGGCACCAACCCAAGACAAGCCTAAGCTGTGCGGAGAGGGCGGAGAATTCTGGCCCACTGCTGTTTTTGGAAACTTCCGTGTCCTACGCCCAAGCCTCATGAGCCAATTTCGAAAGGGCAATTCCATAATGTAGGGGCCTGAACCATTACCTATACTATTCTGTGGGTTCCTTATTCTAATAATATAGTGAGCCCCAAAACCCTATTCACAGGAATAAGGCCCCTACATTAACCGAGCCTTGAACAAGGAATCGCAAGAGGAGCCTTCACGACCAGGCTCTAGACACACGCATGCACAAACAAACACCTGGTTAAACCCTAAAACCCTCAAAACCCAAACCCTGAACCTTAAACTCATCAAGTCGTAAAAGCGAAACCTCTCAGCCGGAGCTAAGTTACGATAAGAGGTGGGGCCAGGCGAAGTTGATGCATGCCCCCACAAAAGTAACCACGGCAACCTCAGAGTGGTGTCAAGGGTTCAGGGCTCCCGGAGATATACACACATGCATGGTTTAGGGTTTAGGGTTTAGGGTTTAGGCATGTATGCGTGCATGCATGGATGTGTGTGTGTGTGTGTGGATGCCTGTGCCTACTTGTAACATATGTATGCATGCATATGTACGCTTTTGTATCTGTGTAATGCAAGGGAACGAAATGCGAAGAGATGTTGCGAAATTGCAACGGGAACAATCTGTATATGCATGTTTGCATGAGTGCAAGTATCTAAGTATGTAACTATGCATGTTTATGTATGTTCATATGCATGTATATGTCTATGTGTATGTCTGTAAGCATGTATGTATTGTATTGCGTTGCATTGTATGTATGTATATATGTATGTATGTATCTATGTATGTACATGCATGTGCATGTATGTATGTATACGCATGTATATGTATGTATTTGTATGTATATGAATGTAAATGTATGTGTATGTATGTATGTATATCTATGTATGTATATGTTTCTGTATGTATGTGTGTCTTTGCTTGTATAATGTATGTATGCATGCATGTATGTTGTGCGCAATGTATGTCCATGTATGTATGCATGCATGCATAATCGTATGTATGTACTTATGTATGTGTATATGTATGTATGTATGTATGCAAGCATGTAGATATGTATTTAAGCATGGTTGTCTGCTTGTGTGTATGTAAGTACGCATGTATGCATGTATGCATGCTCAATGATTGAAGGTATGCAAATGTGCAGTAAGAAAACGTATGCATGCATGCATGTACGTATACACATCTTAAATGTAAGCATTAAACATAAAACCGAATATTGCCACATTTGTAAAGCCCACAACTAATTCATTACATACGTAAATAGACACCTAAAAAAGGCATGGTTACATGATAAGTCGTAAAAAATGTATCATAGGGTCCAGCACCCAAGCTTGCAAGAGCCCAAGGTCCAGGTACCGGTGAAGTAGGCTAAGGATTTAGGACTTGGAGTTTAATGTTGCCCTAAAGTACGTATATAGGAAGCTCGTACATGGCCTGTCATGTATACTTTTAAGCTACATTGACCGTTCATGGGACTTAGTGCGCAAGGTGTTAATTAGGCTAACCCTGTCTAGCCTTCTTATACCCCCAGCTAAAACCTCACTCACAGCTGTTAAAGTAAGGCCCAAAATCCTACTCCCTAAACTTCGAAGCGCTTGCTAACCATTAACTTCGGGAATTCGGGCTGCTGGTCCCAGCTGCCAAAGCTTGGCACCAACTCGACCGCCGGTCCTTCGCACAAGGATCCTAAGCACATAAGAGATTGGGGGCCTTAAAAGACTAGGCTTTAAAGGCTCCTTAAAGGAGCCCTTGTGGACCCTCTTCCAAGGGCTTTAAGGTTGACAATCAGAATTCTATACGGGTTACTATTGACTGTTGCATAAGGACGTCAGTCAAAGAATAGTCGTTTGGGGGGTGTCTAATACTTAAAAAATGTGTATATATATATATGACTTGTATAGCAATATAAGTCCCATAACATTGAGCAACGTATTAGCTTGCAAAACTCACGTGGGGAGCAAGCAGTATAAGGGCGACAGTGCGGGATAGTGTTGAGGGCGCAGGGTGCTGGGGTTTAGGACTCACACAGACCAGGCATAGAAACCCTATCTTGCGCTACGTAGGTACCTAAGCCTGTTTAGGGGAGAAGCAACCCTCTCAAACTAAAGCCCGGAGCAAGTAATGTTGAGGAACTTAATGTCAATTACTTATGTGCTATACTCCTGTAGTGGCTCGCCTAGGGGTTCCGTTAAGGTTTCTCGACTATTTGTACAGCCATTCCTGAGTATATAAGGCCGCGTAAGGCTATACGGAGCTACAGAAGCTCTGTAGAACTTAATAGAGCTCTATTAAGGGATATCAACAGGAACCCTCGATGAGGGCCCGAAATAGAAGGGCTTTAAATATTTTAGGCACCAAGAACCATTGAGAGTATGGAGTTTGTGGCCTGAAGCTTTACGGTGTGGGAACTTGGACCCTCTTGGAATATCCTAGACCCAAGAATCCCCAATCCCACACTCTGAACCGTTCCAAGATCAACGGCCTTCATCCACTGCGCCAGTCTCGCAGAGACCAAGTAGCCGACTGGTGCTATCCACAGCCTTTACGGGCTTTCGACGAATGGTGTAAGGGCTTTTTGGCCTTCTAAGCATTGCTTGTGTAAGGGATTACTTCTAAGGATTCTAAGGACTGTATAAGGGTGGTGTAGGGTGCAGCGGTTTGCATATGTTGTTTTTGGAAAGGTGTTTATCATTAGGGTCGGATGCGAGGGTTTAGTCATGGTCGAAGGAACCACACTTGCCCCTCGGCAACTGCCAGTACCCAGATCCCCCAAAAGGAGCTAAAAAGTAGAACCCCTAATCTAGGACTTTATACCAAAAAGAAACTAAAAAGCAGAACCCCCTAACCTATGACTTTATACCAAGCGGTACTTGGTAAGACCGCCCCTGAAGGGATCTGGGAGTTTCCAAAAATTAGGGGTACCCTACTTTGGGGTCCTGATGATAGGGATCCTACTATTTAGGGTACTATATTAGGGTCCCCTATTATCGGAAACTCCCATCTTACCCTAAACTCTAAACCTCGAATCCCAAAGAGCTCCCTGAACTTCTGCGGCTCGGAGTGTCATCATCGCTAGAGCTTAAGGTACTTACTAAGAGGATTCACCCAGACCTTCCAAAATCCCTTAATTGAGGAATGTACCTTAAATTATAGTAGGATCCCTAGTATTATTTAAGGTATACCATTAACTAAGGGATTTTGGAAAGTCTGCGCATATACACGACTATTACGGAAGTAGGTCCTCCAAAACCATGATTAGAATGGTGTTCTAAAGTCTAACTCCATAAACGTAGTATCTTTGGACCCTCTGGTTTAGGGTAACGCGCCCTCAAACACCTGCCTACTTAAGCTCCGAATACCCGCAAGACCTTATAAACCCTCTACGAGTTGTACTCATCAGCAATATGGCGGCCTGCACGGTTAGAACAGGTTTTGGGACACAAAAACTTGCTGTGTTTATCATGGGAACCCTAAGAAACGATGTTGTCTATTAGTTACTCGGGCTTCTATAAACCCTACCAAACCCTACCAATCTGATTTTTGGGTTGAGTTGTGCATTCTATTTTCTGTAGAAAGGTCCTTCGAAAGGTAGGTTATTAGGGTCAGCGTACACCCTACACCATAAACCCTGGGCCCTATTAAAGTAAAAGCCAGAAAGTTGGAATATGATTATCCTAAACCCTTTATGGTAAATTATAGGGTATCCTACCCTGAAACCATATTCCAACTTTCTGGAGTTCCCTTTACCCTAAACCCTAAACCGAATAGATCCCCTTTAAGGAACCCTACAGAGCCCTTAACGGAGTTCCCTTTAATACCTGATCTTGTCCATGGACCCACTCCTCCCAGGGATTTAGGGCCTCTAGGGTCTGGGGGGCTAGGAGGCTAGGATACCCAGTTTAACCTAAGAATAAGAAGGCCTCTCTTTTTGGTATTGGGTAACTTTATAAGGAACCTAGGACTACAAAAAGGGAATAAGGGTATATACTACTGGGCATCCTAGTTTAGCGATCAAGGGGTTTGAGGGGTCTACCATGTACGGCTTTGGGCCTGAACCCTCTGAAACTTGTCCAAGGAGCCACCAGGCAATTGTTGAAATCAGCACAGAAAGCGCATATCTGTCTGCCCCGCCGTGAAGTCGGGCGGCAAAGGAATCGAGCTGTCCCCAAACGATATACCTCAGCTTCGCTTGAGGGCTGTCGAGTCGGGGGCTTACGGCGCCGGGTTTGGGGCTAAGGCGACTGAATGGTTGATCGTTTCGGGTTTACGGTTTAGGGTTTCGGGTTTAGGGTTTCGGATTTAGGATGTGGGTTTGGGGTTTAGGGTTTAGGATGCGGGTTTGGGAAGTACCTGAAGTTCCAGTCTCGAAGTGAAACATGTATATACGGCAACCAGAACCAAATTCCAACTCACAAGAGCCTTTCTCTCAAAAAGAGATGTCTCCACGTGAAGTCGCAGCAAAGATGAACACTGGCTCTCCTGCTATCCGTCTGACCTATCGGTCGGGAACGACGCGGCTGCAGTTCAGTCTTGGAACGTATTGGTCCCAACCATCCACGAATAGCCGAAGGGAAAGACCGTGACTTGTCTGATGAACAACTCGCGCACCTGCGGATCACCGTTCTCAAAGTGCAGGTATAGCAGAACCTCCTCATTAACCCTAAGCTCGAAAACCCTGATCACCCTTCATCCCTAACGCCTAAACATGAAATCTCCTGAAGAAACTGACCGAGAGTCGGGAGCCTGCACTCCACAACCCCCCCCCACCCCCCTCCCCCCCGAAACCCTACCCCAAACCCCATACCGGGAGATCCAATAGCCTACTGGTACCGCTTGGATGGTTAGACTCGGCTATACACCATAATCAATTTCAGGTCATAGCGAGTCATATCCTACTCTTTTGTGCGGTTTGGGGCGACAGCCAGCTCCTCTCACTCTCCCCCTGCCTCTGTCCGGACGGATTCCTTCAGCGTCTTCGGTTTCGGTGCGCTTCTGTGGGGTTTAATCGACATGGGGGACCCTTTGTGGACTCCTTTCTCGATCAAACCCCAATAACGACCATGAAGTCATCGTCGTACCTTCACCCCAAACCCTCACTATCGCAACTTTCATGGCTGCGTCGGACAAATGCCATTGTGGCGCTTTTGGATCAATCCGCGGCTTCTGAGGCCTTCTTCTTGCGTTTAGTGTTCCGGACCCAGTTCTTGAAGCCATGCCTTACGGACCACATGACACTGAAAAGCTTTAGCCCTGTACCCTTAAAGTTACCATGGGTCCCTATATGGTCTTTGAACCTTAAACCCTTTTAGGTCTCATTTCGATTGTAAGGTATCCCATAACCCCAAGACCCTAAAACCCATATTTCCGTTTAGGGTTCCTTTGCGCCTGAGGGTCATCGGTTTAGTAAACCCTAAACCGTTAGCTACTGTAATATAAGGGCCTTAATCATTATAATGGGGTTTTGGGGCTCATCATACCATAGTTATAATAAGGAACCACCACAATATTACAGGTAATTATTGAGGCCCCTATAGTAAACCTTTAAGCCTTAAACCCTATAACCGGCTCTAGGGGTGTAGGGACTGAGGATCTTGAAGCTCCCCCTTCGCGTGTCTTGTATCCTGCAGCAACTCAATGTGGGAGTTTCCGAAAATTAGGGGTACCTTATTTGGGGGTCCTTAGAAAAAGGATCCTACTATTTAGGGCACTATATAAGGGTCCCCTCTTTTCGGAAACTCCCATGTAAAGCTTTGGGATTCCGCCCTGAAAAGGAGGTAATATGGGAGCTTATTGGTTACCCAGACTATTTTTTGGGGGGTTGTCTTTATTAGTTTCAATATATATATATATATATATATATATATATAGTGGGCCCCAAGACCCTATTCTAATTTCTAAGGCCCCTATTCCCTCCCTCCCTCCCTGAAATCCTTCCTCAACAAGGATCATAACTCACCAACTAGCTTAAAGCACGTCGTGGCACCAGCGACAATGCGTGAGACTGACTCTGTCGTATGAAGAGCTCACGGTTACTTAGTCTATTACTCACTCCCTAAACCCTAAACCCCTAAACCCTGAACCCCTACACCCTACTGCCAAAACCTCCTTGAGCCCGACAGCCTGTCCCTGAACCCAACACCCGAAAGCCCAAACCTTACAAAGGAACCCCCGATCCCCACGGTTTAGGGTTTAGGGTTAAGGGTTAAGGTTTTGGGTTTAGGGTTTAGGGGCCAAACCTCAATACAGGGTCCTTAATAACTAGAATAGCGTCCCTTTAAAGGGTCATCTAAAAGGGGTTACTACAACGGATCTATAAGGATACTCTAATATAGGGGCCTTAATAGTTAGAATAGGGTTTGGGGGCCCATGATACTATAATGAATCAGAATGCGACCCCCCCCTCAACCAAAACACATAGTATAGGTAATGATTGAGGCCTCTGTGTTACAAGGGAGCCCTACTTCAAAGATAGGCTTGGGGTTTAGGGCTGACCGGGCTTTTGGGGCCTACGGAAACCGAGGTCATAAAACCTAAGCCAGAACCGAAGGTACCACGACTTGTCTGTTAGGGCCCAAGAGCCGCAATATTGAACAGCCTGTGGAGCTTGCAACGGCACGTGATACAGAAGCTTGGAAAAGTTGGCTATATCATTCCTCAGGGTTCCTTAGTCTGACTAGTAAGGCTTCTGTAATAGCCCAGACCTTCCAAACTCCTTTAATTAAGGAATATACCTTAAATTATCGCAGGATCCCAAATATGATTTAAGGTACGAGTATCTTCCTTAATTGAGGGATTTTGGAAGTTCTGGGAGGTTATGTGGAGCACATGTTTGTTGTTTAAGTGATGGCGCCGAGGCACTTCAGTGGTTTAGGGTTTAGGGGTTTAGGGGTTTAGGGTTTAAGGAAAAAGCCGGAAAGTTGAAATATGATTATCCTGACCCTTCTATGGTAAATTATAGGGTATCCTACCATGAAACCATATTCCAACTTTCTGGAGTTCCCTGTAGGGGTTTAGGTGTCACTTCAGCGCCAACGTCATAACAGGCTTAAAGCTCGCACATAAGCCTTGAAGGCCCCACGCCCGAAACCTCAAACCCAAAAGCCTGAATATGGAGGCCTTAATAAGTACCTATACTATTTTGGGGGGAATCCTCATTCTAATTATAGTATAATGGGCCCCCAAAATCCATTCAATTATTAAGGCCCCTATATTATAGTAACCGGTGCAGTAGAAAGCCCAAGCGGAAGGTCCTCCAGTGCTTGGACCGAGCCGAACCACTGCTTGATGGTCTCTTCCAGAACTGTTCGGTCGCACATTATCTTGCTGCCATCTTCCTTGTCTGCAATGGTCTGCAATGATTAGGCGCTGGGGGTCGGTTGCAGTAGGGGTGACCGACAGGAAAAACTATGTCTTGGATGCCATCTTCCTCCTAAACGAGCGCTCCAGGTTTAGAGCCTTGGGATAGGGCGATGAGGGCTCAAGGTTCCCTAGGGATCCAAGGACTCATATATTAAGGCTTTTGGTCCCAAAGACCATACTATGCAAGGCTTTTGGGCTATGCTTATTCCTAGGGGCCTAGGGGTTTAGAGAAGGGGTTAGGTTTAGTGTTTAGGGATCGACTTTGGCTGCACATGCGATGTGCATATGCTGTGAAAGTTGGTATGGTGCAGCTAGAAGCCCGAAGCGCTAAACGCTGGAACCCAGATGAGCAATAAATTATATGCCATAAACCCCAAACGCCAAAATTCTCAAACCAGAGGTAGATGCTGTGAAGGTTGATACGGTGCGACAGAAATTTGGAGACTCTTAGACGTAACCCCTAAACGCGAGAACCTCAACCCCTCAACTCAAATATCTACATGAATCTGGATCCTAAACCGAAATATATGAAACCATGCATATATGCGGTGAAGGTTGACACGATGCGACAGGGGATTTGAGATCTAAACCCAAAGTCCTAGAACCCCAAGAACATCTAAGGCCTGAGCCCCAAACTAAACCCCTAAGACTGAAACCGAAACCCCAGGCCCTTTAAGCCTACACCAAAACCCTAAACCATTGATTCTAAGCGTCTAGCCTTAAACCCTGTTCGTGGTTTGAAGATGAAGCGCTTGACTTCCAAATCGTCGCTGACTAATGGCAACAAGAACATAGAATTGGCCTCGGGTTTGGTTGTTGCCCGGAGGGTCCGTACTACCATTATGGAGCTAAGCCACCGAAACCATGATAGGGATGGTCCTTTAGGACCTCATTCCATAATGGTAGTGCATACGGTCCCTGGTTAAAGTGTAGTAGGTTTGGAGTTTAGGGTTTGGGGTTTGAGGTTCAGGTCCAGGTATAGGTGTCAAGTTTCAGACTGTTGGGCTTAGGGCTTCCTTGTCATCAGTGCTGTGGTGGACGATTCAATGTAGGGGATGTTCGGTCAAGCTGCGACCTACATGCTTGCACCCTAAACCCTAGACCCCTAAACCCTAAACCCCTAAACCCTACACCGGCTGCTTTCATACTGACCGACTGATCTCCAAATGCACTCGTTGCCCGAAGCCCATGACCATAATTTGTCACTTTGGAGTTTCCGAAAAATAGGGGACCCTAATATACTACCCTGAATAGTAGGATCCTTATTATAAGGACCCCAAAATAAGGTATATAACCCTAATATTCGGAAACTCCCACTTCGTTCCCGAATGATAAAACCAATTCGCCTCGGCCCCGGCCGAAGCGGTCAGAGGTTCCTGTTCGAATTCCCTCTATTCCCCACCTCTTGATCCCCTCCCAGTGACCCAAGGCTCTTTGGCGGTACTGCGCGGAGGAAAAGACCCGCCTTAAAAACTGGAAACCTGCAGATGAGCCCCAAGGCCTGGCTCTTGTCGGCAGTCTCAACCACTTTCCCCCCCCTCCCCCCCCTGTCTTTTTTGCGAAGTTCCGGTGCCAACGCCGCTGCTGTCCGCTGCGTGGAAGGCTTTAGGCAGGAGGGTGCAGGGCTCCGACATCGGAGATTCAAGCATCGCTCGGAGATTCAAGCATCGCTATCGCCCAGCTAGGGGCTATGTCGAAAATCAGGCACAGGATTCGGAAATGCAACCGTTTCCACATCAACCACATCAGTGTTTCTCCAAATCAGGCTCTTGCTCTGCCCGCCCTGCCCTGCCTTGCCCTGCCCTCCCTGCCCTGCTTGGCCCTGCCCTGCCTTGCCCTAAACCCTAAACCGTTTGAGTCGTTCGTGTTTATTTCTGTCGATTCTTGTTGTTTGCTCTCCACTTGACTTCCTTCGTTCCTTGGGGGATAAGTGCATTGCAAACTTCTTGGGATAAACATCACATGCCGCCAATGCTTGCAACACCTACGTATATTTGAGTCTCCGAATACAGGGGACTTTCCTATAGCACCCTTACTTGTTGCGGCCTGCCCCTGAACTCTTAATCCTACACCCTAACCTAAACCTAGGCCTGATAAAACGTAAAAGCCCGGACAACACACGGACCGGAAAGGACGAAACAAGAGACCCAAGAACCCTAAGGCCGGGCCGAGGCGGACGACGCGAAGAGTTTAAAATTATCCATCAGCCTAGCTTCCGATCGGTGACCTTTCGAGCAGCAATGACATCTGGTATCTTGCCAGCGGAAGTTGCGAAACTGATCTTCGGCCATGACGACGTGCCGCCAAAACCGCCTAAGTGAGGTTCTCGGCATGTTGGCTTGCGTCCAAAGCCCGAAACCCTTCCATTCAGCAACCCTGCCTGAGTAGGAAGAAGAAGACAACATTCCACATGAACACGTACACGATCCTGGCCACGAAGACAGTGTCATTCGCGGGCAGGACGAGCTCAAAGAGCAGCAGCAGAACGCCACCGATGTGAATAACAAATGTCGCAGGCGCGATGCTGATTGGCTTGACCACAAGACTCTCCTGTGACGATGGCTCGGGCTTTCGAGGGCTGGAAGCGCTGTAAACTAGTTCATTGTTGGGATAGGACTAAACATGCACATTTTCATTTCGTATTGGGTTTAAATACCCATAAAAATGTAAAATGTTACCGAACTATGACCAAGTAAAGCGATTAATGTACCTTACCCCTACAGCCCCGGCCACAATGCCCTTGAACCTTAACCCTAACCCTCACGTCCCAAACCCTCATGCCCCGCATCCCCCACCTGGCTAAGCAGGGTAAGGGTTCCCAGTTCAGTACTTCTGTTGATGATGTAAATCCTGCATTACCCATAATAAGGAATATATGGGAATTATGGTAAATTCCTTGTTATGGGTCATGCAGGATTTATATCATCAACCGTTCTGTTTCTAACCTCCAGAACAAGGGCCCCGCCCCTGCGCGTCGTAGGTAAGAAGGGCAGAAGGTATCCGACGGAATATCACAAACTTCTGAGTTCGGGGTGCAGGGTTTAGGGTACGGACCTGAACCCAAAGCCCATGGGCTAAAACCCCTTTTGGCCTCCTATGAAGAGCAGGGGTAGAAGCAGGCTCTACACTCCAAAACTCTAAAGCCAAACAGCCAAACTTTCAACCCGGTGACCACACAACCGGACCCCAGGCATCCACATGCATATCCTAAATCCCTAAACCCTAAACCCCTAAACCCTAAACCCCTAACCCTTAAATTCCGGCTGGAACTCACATCCCTGACCGAACCTCGAAAAACGTCAGGATCCGTACCCTAAATCCTGCGGCGTCCTACGGTTGATGATGCAAACCCTGCATTATACCTGAATGACCCGAAACTATGGGAATTATGGTATTGTCCTTATTATGGGTAATGCAGGACTTGTATCATCAACCGTACACCCTCAACCCTTGAGCCGCGAACCCTATTGATCCCCTAAAGGAACCCCTTATAGGTATCCGTTTAAAGGAACCCCGGGATTTCTATCATCAGCCGTAGAACTCATATCCCTGACTTAAACTCGTAAAACTTCAAACCCTCTGCCTTTGCGCTATCGCGGTGACTGTGGAGAAATGCTGCAAGCTCGAAGATGCACCAAGCCCTGGGGCTTGGCTAGCATCAGGGTTTAGGGTTTAGGGGCTTAGGGTTTCGGCTAAACCCTGCGGATCCAAGGACTTACTAAGTAGGGTTATAAGTACTTCTAGTGGGCTTACAAGTAAGTACAGGTATAGTTACCTTATTTATATCCCTACTTACTAGGTCCCATGATCCTCTATAATATAGAATTTGGTTAACAAAAAAGCAACTACAATGGAGACTATAGGTATGCCTCAAATTGTAGTAGGATTCCAAATAAGATTTAGGGTATGTGCCTTAATCAAGGGATTTTGGAAGGTCTGGGCAGGCAGGATGCTTTGGGGCAGAAGTTCGAGACTAAATGGGCTTTAGGAGCGTTTCCTGTTGTAGAATGTGGGTAATATAGGGAATTCATAATTAGAATAGGGTTTGGGGCTCTTGAGAGTATACTTATCATGAGGAACCGTAAGGAATAATAGTGGTAATCATTAAAATTTAGGCTCCTAGTAGCTCGCCAGATTGGGGTGGCATTTCGACCCCGGGAATAAGGCGTCCCTCTGCGCAAGGGCCTGAACAGCTATACAGCATACCTTAGGACTCGTAGGATGGAGCCGGAAGGAAAAGCATAACGACAATCTTAGACCATCAAGAGTTTGCAGAGGTTTTGAATAGAACGTTAAACGGTCAAAGCTTTGTAAAACTCAGAGAAACTCCAAACAAAGTGTGTGCAAAGCGTCTTGTGCATTAGCGTACGGTGGATTGTAGGGACTAGATCCTCAAGACTCTCTTTCTCTGGCAGGAATTTGTAGGATTTCACATGGGCTTTTATGGGATATGTTGAAAGGGTGCTAATTATAAGGATTCCAGCCGAACCCCTTTTCAAGTGCTTCAGGCTCCAAATTCAGGGGCTTAGCATCTGGCCTCGGGGACGACCAGGCTTCGGTTGAAGGGCGTGGCACATGAAACTCCTAAGCCGTGAACCCCAAACCCCAGGCATTTTAAAACCCCAAACCCTAAACCATAGGCCCTGAACCCCAAACCCGAAAACCCTAAAATCCCTAAACCCCGAAACCCTGAGCCCCAAACCTGATCCTAAACCGCAAATCGGCAAACCCTCAACCTTAACTCTGGGCCCCAACCCCCAACCCCAAATCCTGAACCCCAAACAAGGCGTGAACCAGCACTCCTTCCCAGACCCCCGGGAGGATCCAAAAAGTAGATCTCTTAATGGGGGTTCCTAAAAAGTACCCTTAGTAGTATAGGGCCCCAAATTAGGGGATCTACTTTCTAGATCCTCCTGCGGGTCTGGGTTGGGATGATTTTGGAAGTGTCGCTTGCCTGGAGAGGTAGCTCGGGTCCCACACCACGACCAACTTCCTGCCCAAGGTTTCTTACCTTTGGTTAGAATTGAGGAATGGGGTACAACTATATCTACTATTACTACCATTCTTTCCCTACTAACCAAAGGTACGATTTAGGACTTTGGATTTACCGGTTTAAGGTTTAGGGGAGTGGGATTTAGGGCTGTTGTTTTTGATGTGGGCCCCAGGTTCAGTTAGGGATTGTATTTCTGCTTTTATCTACTCTGGGCCTCTTTCCTACAGTTGTTCCTGCCCCGACATCCACTACGGTGGTTCTCAAAATTATGGTCCGGCTTTGGGTCCCTACTACAATACGGCACCTAATATTTAGGGTATACCCAAAAAGGGACCTTAATTTTGATAACTACCCACAAAGGCGTGCTTGGCTTCAGCTGTGTTCGGACCTTCCCTTGTTCTGACACGGGGCCCACAAGGCTTAGGGAGTTTTGGGCCTAAAACGGCTTCAGGTTTAGGCAACATGGGGTTTCGCTAGCATGGGGCTGCTGTGGAGGAGTAGGACGTAATCTTTCTGTGTTTTGGTGTGTGTGTGTGTGTGTGTCTGTGTGTGTGTGTGTGTCTGTGTGTGTGTGTGCGTGGGTGCGTGTGTGTGTGTGTGTGTGTGTATGTGGGGGGGGGGTGCGTTTGGTATTCGGATGCAGGGCTTAGGACCATCAGCAAAGGCCAAATGCAAAGGACAGGATGGAGATGCTGATGCCCTGATGTATCGGGGAGGCGAAAGGGTCGTGATAATCATAAACTTTCACCCAAATTTTATCACACAAAATTAGTTTACTATTCTAAAGCCAAGTATCTGAACATCAGGTCCTTTTGGACCCTTAGGGTAGGGTTCTGTGGGATGTATCAGAAATGGATGCTCTGCCTCTGTGAAGATACCGTAAGGACAAAATGACCCTTCAAAGTAGGGGCCCTCCACTTGTGTGCTATAAATCCTTTTTTGGTATATGAGCCTTAAACCCTTTCAGGGTTCATGTCGTCTTTCAGGGTTCATGTCGCCTTTCAGGGTTCATGTCGTCTTTTAATCTTTTAGGTAATGCGAAGCACGGGCTCAAACAGGTGTCCAGGCTTGCGGGGGCACTGGGAAGAGGTCTACAAACACTCCAGTGGTACAGGCAAGACAAAGCTACCCGTAAACGCATGCTTTAGCAGTTAGACATCATTGTCACGAACTGCAATCGAGAGCCAAGCAGCACCATAGGACAAAAAGAACAAAAACCCAGTCAAGCAACGAGCTGGCACGGAGGTAAACCCGAAAACCCTAAACCCCCAAACCATCTCACACCCTAAACCCTAGCATCCTCGAAGAGAGTGATTCGCAACAGCAAAGGCAAAAGGACCGGCCTGGATCTCTTCAGGAAAGCCCCCATGTGAATGACACCCAAGAACTTCTGCCTGATTCAAGTGGGAGTTTCCGAAAACTTGGGGTACCTTTTTGGGGGGTCCTTATTATAAGGATCCTACTATTTAGGGTACTGTATTAGGGTCCCCTATTTTCGGAAACTCCCAAGTTTTGCAGGTTCTGCCGGGGTGCCGCATAGATCTAAACTGAAACGGTCATGACAAAATATATACTCCCACAGTTTCGACAGGAGATGCAACAAAAGGACTTCTGTGCATCCAGGGCAATCACTCGGGGATTGTTCTTGCACGGTTGAAAGACATCGGGGAGTTTCCGGAAAATTAGGGGTACCTCATTTTGGGGTCCTTGCAATAAGGATCCTACTATTTAGGGTACTATACTGGGTCCCCTAGTTTCGGAAACTCCCATTTGCTGCAGGTAACCAGGTAGGATTGGGACAAGCCCCGTCTGCTTTGGGATGCGGCTCGTGACCGTTGTGAGGGTTTGGAAGGGGCAGACCAGAGATACGCCTGGGCCTTAACGACGAACAGGGTTCTAGCACGTGTTAAGTATGTTGGCATTATACAATCAGGAACCCTCATGGCATATGACCGCATACTATTTGCATTAAGGCTCCAGTTTAGTTCTCCCTCTAGGTTTAGAAAGAGGATTTATAGTTTAGAATGCGTAAGTCCTACAAACAACACGAGCCTGAGCCCTGAACTCTAAACGGCTCTAAACCCCCTACCCTAAACCCTGAACCCCACGTAAACCCTGCAAACCCTATGGTCCTGGTGATCTCTAAAAGGCCCTAAACCCTGTACGAATACTATAGGGGCCGTAATGCTTAGAATGCGGTTTTGGGGCCCATTATTATACTACAACTATGATGAGGATCCCCCCAAAACAGCGTAGGCGAGTATTCAGGCCCCTGTATCACATACTTCCCCAGTAAACCGGGGAAATAAAAGGTTAAACTTTCAGATTACTACTAAAATATACAAACCCAGAAAGTTCAAAGGTTGGGTATTGGAGAACTAAGATCAGCCTGTTCCCTGAACCCTAAACCCTAAACCCTAAAACCCAAAACACTAAAATCCTAAACCCTAACACCCTAAAACCCTAACACCCGAACACCCTCAAACCCTAAACCCCGGTCTGCCGAGATCGCCTTTCGTCACCTTGGTGAATGCAGACTCTGTCCACGAAGACGCTGCCTCGAGGCTGCCAAAGAAGCCTCGAGGCTTCGTACTGGATTACTGTGGTAGGGTTCAGAGTTTAGGGTTTTAGGGTTTTAGGGTTTAGGGTTTAGGGCATCTTATCGTTTTCTTGGTGGGTCTTAGGCTTTTCGGTTTTAGGTATTTTCGGGTTTAGGGACTTTGCTTGACGCAAGAAGTGGTCCTCGTACTCCATAGGGTGGATGATATAAATCCTGCATTACATGAAGGATCCTAAACTATGGGAATTATGGTATATTCCTTACTCTGGGTCATGCAGGATTTATATCATCAACCGTACTTTTGGTATGAGGGTCCTGTTCCGGTACCAGACCAGGAACCACTCGGACCAGCTATCAAGCCAGAGCCTTTACAGCGATTCATAAGCCTGAAAACAAGCTGCATAACCGTCGTCATATCATTGCTATATCTCCCTATCTTATCTCAAACCATAGGTATATCAAACGCAGCAACCCTAAAACGAGAATGCGAAAGCCGGATATCCCGGCTCAAAATCCTATACCTTAAAACTGCGGACCTCGAGATCCGAAAACACTACCTGGACAACCTTAAGGTTTACTTGGAGGGACAGGGGACTTAGTAAGTAGGTTTTCTAGTAGAGTTATAAGCACCCTAAATGGAGTTGTACCAATTATAACCCTACTTATATCCGACTTACTAAGTCCCCTGCCCCTCCAAGTAGGGTTCAGGGTTTAGGGCCAAACCCTAAAACCTCTCTTAGTGGTCAGCCGGCCCGTGCAGCCTGAGAGGCATCGGGGCGCAACAGAAACTCAACATCCCAATCTAGCGTAGAGAGGGGGGCAGTGTGGGGGTGGCTGCACAGACCCTCCAAAATTCGCTAGTATCAAGGAATATACATCAACTCCCAAGTATGATTTAGAGTGTACGCTCCTTCATCCTCTTATAGAGCCCTTAAAGACCCCTTTAAGGAACCCTTAATTAGGAATTCCCTTATAGAGCCCTTAAGGATCCCTGTAAGCAGCCCTTGATTCGGGGATTTAGGAAGCTCTGGCTGCTCGCAGCTCGCGAAGTGCCCGAAGATTCCGCCCTTGATCCCAGAACTTCCAAAATACCTCAATCAGGGGCCTATGAGGGATCTATAGGGCCAGGGTTCCTTTAAGGGATCTACAGGGTTAAGGGTGTAGGGGACACCAATATCCTTTAACTAAGGAATATACCTCAAATTATAGTAGGATCCCTCATATGATTTAAGGTATATTCCTTAATTAAGGGATTTTGGAAGTTCTGGGATCCGTTTAAGCCATGAGCCCCACCAAACCCTCGAGACAGTTTAGGGTTCTAAAACGGGCTCCTTAAAGGGATCTATAGGGTTCCTTAAACGGATCTATGGGGTTTAGGGTTTAGGGTCTTTTTGCAGAGGCAGGGGACTTAGTAAGTAGGTTCTAAGTATGGTTATACTTGGGGTAACTCCGTAACTCTACTTATAACCTACTAAGTCCCCTGCGCCTCCAAGCAGGGTTTAGGGATATCGCCATGAGAAATCTGAAGTTCTTTCAAAGATTACAATATCTTCAGATCTTGATTCCCCATAGGATTCTAATCCTAATCCCTACTGATTTTAGATGAGCCCCAACAAACCCTCGAGACACCTCCAGACCCGAAATGCAACAACAATAGGGCCTCCATGAAGATTTAAAGAAAGCCCGAAGATCTATATTCGCAATCGGGAACGCTAAGTGAAACAAATTTCCCCAAGCGATAATAAGTCGCCATAGCAGCAGGATCAATAGACCTGTGGCGCTTCCGAAGATGAGAGCCCAAGGACTGAACTTGAACCTGGGTCTCAGGGGCTGAGGCTCTAGAATTTAAGGGTTCGGGTTAAAGTTAAGGTTTCTTTGAACTGCTCTCTCTCTCTCTCTCATATGTTATCATCTTTGTTGTTATTCCTTGTACATATATATATATATATATTTATTTATTTATATTTATATTTATATATATATATATATATATATACATACATACTTACCCACATACGTACATACATGCATACATACGTACGAATACCGAAATGTGAAGGTTCAGGGATTTAGGTTAGCGGTTTATCGGGATTACGGATTATTGGCTAATGGGATTTTGTTTTTCGGTTCCAAAGGGTGGCAAAACGGATTTCTGTGGCTTCGGGTTTCGGGATGTACAAACAATCTTTATGTAGATGTCTCCAGGGTTTGTGTAAGGTTTCTATCAGGATGTCTTTTGCGATTTCACCTGATTCACCTGTGTAGGGTTTCGGGATGCGGAGCCTGGACTTTGGCATTGAAGCTTCAGGCTTAAGGTGTAAAGGGATTTTTGTTCTGTGGGTCCAGCTTTTCCATACACAAGGCTTTGTGATGTGCGGATTGTCACTTCAAGCGTGCAGTTTGGAATGAGTTAAAACTTGTTCCCAAATGCGTCTAGCTCATTCAATGCCTTTCAGCCCCTATAAAACGTCTTAAAGGAACCCTTCGATTAAGTTCAAGCTACTTCCAGCGGGCCATTTAGCATGTCCAACTGGAACACGGGTTCGAATAGTCCTCAGCCCTTGTAAAAACCCTCTAGGTTACGGAGCAGTAACCCATCAGAAAGCTAACTGGGCTGTGAGTGGAACAATACTCTTCTTTAAGTACTCATCTGGGTTCTGCTGCCAGGTTCCATACTTGGAGAAATCAACATTTGGTGATTGTTCGGCCGTTGGCCGAAGGTCGGGAGTTCTGCTTTAGTGTTTAGGGTTCAGTAGGGTTTAGGGTTTGGGGTTCAGGGTTCAGACCCCTGAAACCGTGTTTAGCCTTGGCAAAAATCTATAGCTGACCTCGACCCTCCATCTGCCCTGCTGGGTTCCTGAGTAGCCTCTTTCTAATCAGGGTAGCCTTTCTCCTACTGTTCGGCTTTAACAAGGGAACCCTAACCAGACTCAGGAACCTAGCCTCAATTAGACCGTAAATACCCACTATTTGGGACGATATACCCCAAATTGAAGGTACACGGAGGGTTCTGGGAACCGATAAAAACTCGATGAACCGGTGCTCTCTAGATTGTTTTTGCAGAGGCTTCTTTTGACTGCAACAGTTTTTACATAGACGGGGCTCACAGGGTCTTCTGGATTTACAGATGTTTCAGAACCTATACGACCTGTGCTAACTGATCCGCTCTAATTTGTTGCCGGGTTCTGTGTCTGAAACCCGTAACCCATCCCACTTGCTTGCCGGTGTGCTCTCCGCTGTATCCTTCTCCTTGGATTCGGGGCTCCTTGTACCAGCCCGGCAGGAATTCCATAATGGACAACCACGTCGCAAGAAGCGCGACCACCGTACCTTGGAAAGTTCGCAGACGGCGGTGTAAGGCACGCTCACTATTCACTGTCCACTGCAATTTACCCTGTATAAATCCACCAGGCTCAAACCTCAACGCCACAAGCTACTATTGTACTACTACCGTACTATTATTGTACTATTGTACTACTGCTGTACTACTACTGAAATACTCAACTCAAACTGGGACTTTAGGGTTTAAGGTCGATTTCGGGTGCGGAACCGAGCTTTTACCGTCATTACGGTTTTGCATCTGCGTTACGCCCTTCACCGAATAACAAACCCTTCATACGCTTGACCATCCAGGGAAACCAATACTATACCCCTAGTGACAAACCCTAGGCACTATTACGGTTTGAACCATACTCCGTGCCTAAAAATATCACAAATACCTGTATGGTCTCTATACTAGGACACACTATTATGATTCGGCGAAATATCCCCCATAACGGTACCTAGCATTCTTTGGGTCCATGTTGGGGAGCATTGGGCTCTCTTGCTTAGGGCCCTGAATTATTACGCGCCAAGACTCCCCCTGGTGAAAACAACAATCTAGATGAAAGGATGATTATAAGCGGTGTCCCCTACTCCGAAAGGCTTGAATGTTGTTCGCTGTATTCAAGATCTCCAATTGAGGAAACTTTCAACCCAAGGCTTCTCAATATTTCTGAGAACGATTTCTGAGTGATCCGGTATAATATGGCCGGGAGTTTGAACAAGAACCTATTGCCCCGAAGTACAAGGATCCCGCACGTCAGAATCTCCAAAGATTCCCCGTTTCAGGCATGCAAAATCCCAAATCGCAACCTACCGAAGGTCCCAATATAGGGGCCTTCATTGAAGCAATGAGGGAGACCACGGAAAATGGGGTGGGTGGGGGCTTCGAGACACGAGAAGCACCAAGAACACTCGCCGGAAGGGTTTGTCCCCGGAAAGCTGAAGGCTTAAACACTACTAAACCCTGCGACCCCAGAGCCCTAAACCTAAACCCGAGATTTCGGCATGAGGTTGAGAGGCAACTACACTCACCAAAACTCAGGCTGGAGGGCGGTAGGTAGGCGATAAGAGAGGCGTCGGAACAGGCGAGGATGAACAGTTTAGGCATATTCCTAAACTATATGGACTATATAGTTGTACTCGGTCAAAACAAAATGTGTGCTCAATTGCTGAAACCAAAGTCTAATTTGAAAGGCCTTTACACCAACCCTCAACCCGAGCCCCAAGCCCAAAACGCACAAGGCCCATACTGCTAAAGGCATTTGTCCATCAGGTACATTGGACTCTGAGGATTTTGTAACTTGAACCAAATCACTTCCGATGCACGCCGCAAGGCCGTTCCTCGGCAGGGTTCGGAGTTTAGGGCTGAGGAAGCCATGAAACTTTGCATGTAGACCGAAACCCGAAGGAACCAACAAAAGATTCTGTACAAGTTAATATCGGGGCATTAACAATTGGAATAGGGCTCGGGGCCCCCCTTTAGTATACTTATAATGAAAATTAAGTTCTTACTCCAAAGTCTGTCGTGCAATACGTTGGCAATCAAATTCGCACTCCAAAGTCTGTGGTGCACCTCGCGGCGACATCAAATTCGCACTCCATCCAATTCGCCACAAAATCTGTCGCGCGCCACGCTGGCATTCAAAGTCACACTCCACACAGTCTGTCGTGCACCGCGTTGGCTATCAAGTTTGCAGTTTGCAATCCAAAACGTCTTTTGTGCACCAGGATCTCCGTCAACTTCGCACTCCAAAGTCTGGTCATGCGCCACGCTGGCCAAGAAATCTGTCTGTCGTGCGTCGTTCGCAAAGTCAGTCGTACACTACGCTGGCATCAAAGTCGCTCCAAAGTCTGTCGTGCACCGCATTGGCCATCAATTTGTCTCCATGCTGGCCATCCAATTCGCATTCAAGCGCGTGTCGTGCAGCGTGCAGGCACGCCGATTTCGCACTCCAAAGTCTGTCTCGTGCACCACACTGGCCGTCAAAGTCGCAATCCAGATTCTGCCCCGTGCACCACGCTGGCCATCAATTTCACACTCCACAGTCTGCCGTCACCATACTGGCTGTCAAATTCACACTCCATAAAAGTCTTTTGTGAACCACTTCGGCCACGAAATTGGTCCTGCAAAGCCTGTCGTGCACCACGCTGGCCATCTTTCGCGACGTCATCTGCTGTGATGATGCCGCCCTGCTCGATAATGTCCATCTGCTCGTCCGACATGTGCTCCAGTCAACGCATGCCATGGACAGGTCCATATCGCAGGCCAACATGGCACCAAACTACCAAACTGTGATACAGCTGATACAGCTGTCACAGCCCCATTCCCCCTGCATCTCGCAGGTTCATCAGCACAGCACTACTGTCACCTGCAAGCGCAAGTTACGACAGAGTCATCTCCAAGAATGCGGCAATTTTCAGCAAGAACTCGCACAGCAATACTGTCACCCGCGCGCACAGGTTACGACGGAGCCATCTCCAAGAATGCCAGCTGGAACCTGACACGCGGCCGGCACCAGGTCACAACGGAGCCATCTCCAAGCACGGCGGGCAGTCTGAGCACTCTGCATTCGGGGCTTCGAGGGAGATGACATGAAAACCTGCACGGCGCTGCTGTCACCACGTTCGCGACGGAGCCGGCTCAGCACTGCCTTTACACAGCGGGCCTCTGTTGCTTGAATCTAATGGCACATCCGCACCGGGAACTCACAGCAGAGTTCTGCGACAAAATGTTTGCTGTTGGAGAGAACTTGAGGTCGCGACCAATTTGCTGAGAATGGCAGCAAAAGGATACAAACAGAGCTTGGATCTGCTGCACGAGATCATGCAACACAAAAAAGCTTCTTCAAGCAAACATGTCCGCTTCTCTGCTCTCCCCAGAACCCAGAACTCGAGATCACGACCGCTTTGCTGACAATGGCAGCGCAAAGAAAGCTTGCATCTGCTGCACGCGATCATGCAACACGAAAGCTTCTTCAAGCCAACATGTCCGCTCCTCCCACATATCAAGCCCCCAAACGTGATATTTCGAAGGAAACTGATGCAACTGCCGGCTCTCTAGATGAAAACCCCCACCCATCAGTGTTGGAGTGGAACTTCCGTGCTAAGGACAAAATTTTCGCCCATCAAGAAATCTGACCGTGCAGTCGGTGGTTATGCTAAATATTCACAGTAACGCACCGTGCCCATCTCTTGGATTGATTCGTCCTCCGGAACCAGCTCCAGGTTCTCAAGCAGCCATGCGCGTGCCGCGGAGGCAAAGAGGATGTCCTTCCTTTGGTCAGACATGTCCCCTCGTGCAATGGCCTGATTTGGTCTGCCGGTGCTGCTGGGTTGAGATCGACCCTGTAAGCCGGACGCTGTGGTCGCATGCAGACCTCTCGCCCCAAGGATGCAACGAGATGTAAAGCGAGGATATGACTGCATCATCTTCACGAAAAGAGGGGTTCACCAAGCACAAACTTGCTCCGTTGGTACTATAATGGTCGGAAATTGCGAAAAGCATCCCCTCCAGTCCCAAAATATTTGTGGTGGAAGTCTGCTGAAATGGCACCGCCCCTTGCTAGATTCCCCAATATCCACTTCCTCGAAGGGGTGCTTCTTCGATCCGTAGGATGTAGCAGACCATTGAAGTCTAATAAAAGGTGTCCCAAACAAGAAGGGTACTACAGTGGGGCCAAAACACAATCCTATCACGCCTTCCTCAAGACCCACACACTATATACCGTTTATTGAAACCCCTCGTTGACCCTTCGGGGAATGCTGTTTCGGAACATGAACCCTGAACGCCTCAATTTGTAAGGCTGCTGGTTTCGATTTTTTGGGGTTCAGGAAGACCCTGGACACCTATCTCAAGGATCGCGATTGCGGAGATGTGAAGCTAGGCTTGGTCATGGTACCTTCGTAAGTTGCTACACGTCACACATGAATTTAGGATCGTTTCCTTTCTGCAGCGGGGCTTGGTGCCTATGCATTCTGAATTCTCTGCACCCTACACCAAAAACCAAGATGAAAAGCAGCTAAAACCCTAAACCCCACAGCCGAAACCCCTTACTAAAGCCAACAAGGTCTTCCATCATAGGCCCAGGTTCTTGAGCATCAGGAGCAGCCACACCTTGGAGGACACCCGGCCGTGCCAGCTGTGTGACCAGAACTCATCGATGGAGGTTACCTCTTCGGGCTTTTTTGGTGGGTTTAGGGTACACCTCAACCTTTACTTCAACCAAAGCTTGCTAGGACTTTTGTGATGATTTCCTCATTTGTCTCTAAACAGCTGGGTGATTTTGGGGTCAAGCGGCCAACACTTACAGTCAGTATGGATTCGCTCTCCCGGAGTTTGCAGTGGCAAGGCCTTCGGGGGGGAGGATTTAGCATAATCGGGTGGTCTAGGGTGGAGGGCTAAGATGGGGCTGAATAATTGGCAGAGGGTCTTGGTGCCTACTAGATATAGCATACCTAGGGACCTAGAGGCTCCATATATAGTACCATTATGGAATTAGGCCCCAGGAGACCATATTTATCAGGGTTTTAGGGGCCTAATTCCATAATGGTATTGTATCTGGAGCCTCTAGGATAGTCATAATGGGAACCCTCAGGCGTCGGCACTAGGCCTTGCACTGCAAGATTGGAAATCCTTGAACCTAACACCCTGTAAATTCAAATCCCTAAACTTCGAACCCCCCTACACCGAAACCTCTGAAATCGAAACCTTAACCAATAGAACAGAACGAAACGTGCTTGCACGATAACTGGTGCTACCGACGTCAAGAAAACACCGGAACAAAACGGAATGGGAACTCCAGAAACAAGGAACCCTAGTAACCCCAACATAGTAGGATCTTGTACAATTTTGTGAACCATGAACAAGGAATCTCTAAAGCCTAGACTTCCCAAACCCAAAACCCAAACCCCCGCTAGCCCCGGTCCACCATGTAGCTCAACTGGTAGAGCTTGTCCGGGTCCATGGCCTAGTAGGTTTCCCCCTAAAAGTCCCTTTAAGGTCTTCAGGGTCCATGTAGACAAATAGTATATACTTTGGCCTTGAAGTAGTCCCCATATAAATACTTTTGGGACAATGTATATGCTATTTGGGCACATGGATCCTGAGGGTGGCCAGGGCCTGGGAAATATTGGAGGCTTTTGGGTGTACCCTAAACCCCAAAGACTATACTGTAGGGTTTAGAATACATTTGGGGGTTGGGCTTGGGGTCGATAAGGTCTCGGGGGAAGTGTTTCAGGATTGATGTAGTTTATCACGACGTAGGCGGTGGGCTGGATTAGGGCATCGCGTGATTGCAGTCAACAGCCGTATTGCGAATGCTTCTTTGCAGGGACTATACCATAAGGGTCCAAAGGACCCAGTAATGAGGTACTTGGGTTTAGGATAATAGCTGTGGAAATTACACTTTGGGAGAGTCTATGATTTTTGGGTGCTTGGACCCTTTGTGCTGCTCCACAACGAGGTAATATAGGGGCCTTAGTACTTAGAATAGGGTTTTGGGGCCAACTATACTAAACTTATAATAAGGGCCCCCCCAAACTAGTACAGGTAATTAGTACGGCCCCTACATGATAGGGTTGCAGTTTAGGGTTTAGGGTTCAGGCTGAGAAAGTCTAAAGATTTCCGGGTTCAGGAGACTTGTCGCTCAGGGTATGAGGCCCGGAGACCCCAATATCCCTTAAATAAGGGATATTCCTTAAATTATGGTAGGATCCCTTATATGATTTAAGGTATAATTCCTTAATTAAGGGATATTGGAGTGTCTGGGGAATGCGGGGTTTAGGAGTTTGGGGTTTGGGGCTTTGGGTTTAGGGCTTGGGGTATTGGAGCTTGAGGATTTCCGGGTTCCGGGACTTGGGGCTTGGGGTCTACTTGGAGGATCATGGGACTTAGTAAGTAAGGTTATAAGTACCTTGATTGGGGTTACAAGTATAGCTACCCTAATTACAACCCTAGTTACTAAGTCCCATGATCCTTTAAGCACGGTTTTGGGGGTCAGCGTCTTGGAGTTTGGGGATTTAAGCCTCCGGCAGAAACCTGTGTGTGTTTCGGACCGTAGCACCCTTCGGGCTCGGCACTTAGACTTTACAGGGCTCGAGTTTCCGGACTGTGTGCTAAACTTCACACCTTCTTGCATCACGCTGCCGCTCTCAAACTGACTGATTGAGAGTGAACCGCAGCCCAACCCTTTGAAAACCCTTCGTAGAACCCTTGTAGATGCCTTTAAAAGGACCCTCCTCGATCTCTTTAAAGGAACCCTTATAATTAGACCCGTTTAAAGGAACCCCTATAGATCCCGTTCAGGGAACCATTATGGATCCCTTCAAAGGTACCTCTAAAGGAACCCTTATAGATCCCTTTAAAGGTACGTCTAAAGGAACCCTTATAGATCCCTTTAAAGGTCCCTCTAAAGGAACCCGTTTGGATCCCTGAAATCCATTATGGATCCCTTGGAAGCTGCCCCCACCCTGTAATAGTGACTATAAGGATTATATAGGATTATATTAGGGCCCTATTATAGTCCTATTAAACCACCATAACAGGGTGGGGGCAGCTTCTAATGGAAAAGGAACCGCAGGCCGAGGAACGGATCCTCGCAGAATTCGACCAAAGTTTCTCAAAACAACCCGCGCAGGCGTTGCCCGCAGAAGGCTCCTGATCTGACCCAGGAACTTTGGGGGGTTCCTTTAAGGGGTTCCTTCAAGGGTACCTTTAAGGGTTTATTTAAGGGTTCCTTTAAGGGTTCCTTTAAAGGGTTCCTTTAAGGGTTTATTCAAGGGTTCCTTTAAGGGTACTTTAGAGTAATTTAGGGGTATATTCCTTAATTATGGGGATCTAAGGTTTAAGGCTTTACAGCTATCGGACTTAGGGTAACATAGAGACTCTCTTAAAGGGTTTAGGGTTTAGGGGTTCCTGATCTAACCCAGGAACTCCGGGGTTCCTTCAACGGTTCCTTTAAGAGTGCCATAACGAGCTAAATTTAAATGTAAGCTCCTGATCTAAGGTTTAGGAGCTCTAGGAAACCCAGAGACTCCAAAATCCCCTATTTAGAGACTGTGCCCGCGATCTTATGAAGGTCCCCATTATATTATTACGGCTAGATTCCCTAATTACGGGATTTTGGAGTCTGAACTCTGAACAAAGGAGCAAATCCTGGGGTACCGCCAATGGCCTGTCATGCTGAAAGCAGCAATACACATGTGTTGCCGAATAGAAAAATCGAATCTGAGCCAATGGCCCAAGAGCTTTATTCGTGCTCCCGAACCTCTCTACGCTGAACCGTGTTCGAAACCAACAACACGGGGCCGGCGAACACCTAAGCAACTCCAATGCAATGCTGTGATGTCTTGAAATTCGCCAAAGAGCTTCCAACCAATAACACATAACACAGGAAGCAAGCTTTCTTTCCAAAACAAGTTGGCCTTGTTTCAAGGTGTTCGGCACCGGAAAGTTACGACAAAAGTTATAATAGCAAGCAGGAGAGCGACACTCATGGCCAGAAGCCTAAACGCCTAAAGCGTTGAACCCGGTACCCCTACAACCGGGTGCTGAAGCCATAGAACACTAAACCATGCGCCCGAAGAGGAGCAGTCTAGATAGAGGCCTTATAAAACGCCGGGAAGCTATCACGGCCCTTGTAATCCCTTGTATCAACCCCCTGCCACAGCGTAAACATCATGCTTGGTTACGTAAACCACGTTGAAACCTTACTAAACTCCATAAAACCCTTCATGAATTAAGGCCCTATAATGAAAACTGAAGACCATTAACAGAAAAAAAAAAGAAAAAACACTTCTGGCGAGCCAGGGTCGGGTCTGCTAACTCTTGGCTGACGATGTTGCTCAACACCTTTGCGGGGATCTGTGGTTCAAGGCTTCAGGGCTGTTAGGGCTGATGATATAAATCCTGCATTACCTTAAGGTATATTCCTTATTTTGGGTAATGCAGGATTTATACCATCAACCGTAGGGCTTGCAGGGTTAGGATTTGGGGCTTAGGGTTCAGGGTTCGCTGCAGGGCTTTAAGGTGTACTTGGAAGGTCGGGGCTCTTCTAGAAAGTAGTTAGTCTATAGAGTTCTACCACTTGGGGCACTTATGATCCTACTTATTACCTACATGTTAAGTCCTCCGACCCTCCCAGTTGCATCTTATTCCCTTGGCCCTTGGAGTTCCTTCACAAAATTATGCGATCATGCACACTCACTAACACTGTAGGATTTATAGAGCCGAAACCCTAAATCCCCTATAAGTTTTATAAGGGTAGCTCAAGGTATGTGCCTGGACCATCCGCGGGGCTTTTTGGAACGGTTGCAAGGGCTTCATGATTTGGTAGGGGCCGTTGCCCTGCTAAACGCAAACCCATGAAGCCCAAACCGCGAGCCACTAACCAGAAACCTTGTTCAACGCCGTTGCAGAATCCTGAAAGAAGTCCGGCGTCCAAAAGATCTTGCAACATGGGCCAACATGGAGTTTAGGGTCGTTGGGACTCTGTGGCTTCTGAGGTTACGGCGTAGGGCGTCAGGTTTAGGGGCTTGACTAAACCCCAAATCAACAACCCTCCTGATTAGATAATCGACAGAGGAATCACCGACAAACAGTCGAAGTTTGGAAGCATATTCTTTCGGATTCACGCCTCGGCAAGCGTTTACGATTTTCTAAAAGTTGCATTCCACACTGCGCACTGACCCTCAGGATTCAGTATGATGACGCTGTCTACGACCAGGATTAAGGGTATTTAAGGTATTTAACATGTATGGTGACAAAGCAGGGATATACTCCGCATCATACTCGTACACTTTCTCCACCAGCATCCCAGCAGCTTTCGCCACAACTTCCGGCGGTGCTCTCGCAGTATCGTCTTCGCCTCGGCGACGAGGGAGCAGAAAGGTTTCCCTAAGGGTTCATGTCGAATGACATAATATAGGGGCCTTAAATACGAAAATAGGATTTTGGGGCCCGTTATACTATAGATATAATAAGGAACCCCCCAAGATAGTATTCGTGACTGTTTAAGCCCCTATAGTATACACTTCGACACCAGTGACAAGATGTACATAAAGAAGTGATGGTAACACCTTTGGGTGGAACTGTAGCGTTGA